TTTGTGATATATTTTGAAGTCAAGTAGTTTAATGTCTCCTGCTTTGTTCTGTTTTGTTTACGATGGCTGTTGCTTTTAGTTTTTATTTTTGTGTGTGTGTGTGTGGTATAAAAAAAGTTGCTAGAAATGAGAGTAGAATGGTTGATCATCAGAACCTAGACAGATTAGAGGGATGGGGTGGGGAAAGGTTGATGAGTGGGAAATTAATTATAATTAGATAGAAATAAGTAATTATAATGTGCTATTGCACAGTAGGATGACTGTAGATAGTGGTAACATATTGTATAATTTAAAAACCTAAAAATAAGATTTTAAATATTTTCACTATAATTTATAAACTTTTGAGGAAACAGATAAGCTTAACCTGGGATATAAACATTATACAATGTGCCCATGTATTGAAATATCACTTGGTACCTCATAAATATGTACAATTTTTATGTTTTAGTTAAAAATAATAATAAAAAAGAATTCCACCATTCCAGGCTACCATGGGTAATCTCAAAGGGAACAGACTAAAGGTAAGTCTTGCTTAAATGTTCTACTTTGAATTTGTATCAATAGCAAACAATATAGGTTTACTCTGACATTTGAGTCCTAAAACTTTCCAGGGAACTAAATGGAGACTCCAGTAGAGAATATAAACCCTTCTTTGCTTTCTTCAAAGAGACTTTTGTAATCCCAGAAGTGATTTAAAGTGGCATTTCTCATCTGTGTGGGAAGTAGTAGGTCCTAAAAGTTTAACAATACTGCCTCAGAGAACTAATTGTATCTTATTTATTAAGCAATAGCTTATTTTTTAAAAAATAAACTAAATTTTTCTAATTCAATAATACATATTAATTGAAGAAAATCTGGGAAGTTTGGGAAAGCCTAAATGGAGAAATCAAATTCATCCTTAATTCCAGATATGGTAACTATTATTAGTTTAATATGTTCATAGGCATATGGTAAATAATAGGAAAAAACTGTAATTCTCCTATTGTATTTTCAACACAGAACACTCTGTCAACAATTTACTTCTGACATGAGATAACCAGATGTGTATCTTCTCCACATCAAGCAATTTTCTGACTTCACTGGATAGTCCTACAATTTATTTCAATTCTGAACTACCTACGTGGAGTTTGCATCAGATCCCACAGGTAAGGGGCTCAGTGCCACAAGATTGTCCCCTACTTCAGATGCCAAAAGCAAATCTGAGCCTCAGGGACTTCTGACCAACTGGCTGCATGTTGAAAGTTCCTTTAGGTATTATTATTTTTTTTTGAGTTCTTTATATATCCTGGAGGTTAGTTCTCTATCTGATGTGCATATGGTAAAAATTTACTCCCATTCGGTAAGCTCTATCTCTACCTCATTGATTATTTTTTTGGATGACCTTTGATTTATTGATTTCTGATTTATTGATGATTAAATATTTGATTTATTGATTCTTGATTTTATTTCTTGCACTTTAGGAGTCTTGTTAAGGAAATTGGGGCCTAAACTGGCATGATGAAGATTTTGGCCTTTACAGTGACCACATCAACCTACTTAATTCTTCTGTTAATTGAACATTGTTTAGAGTGAAAAATTCTCAACAGTTGCATTATGAGCCAGTATACTGAGCATGTCTTTGCATGAAGTTAACAACTCTGAGAATTGATTTTCAAATTTCATTTATTGAAGAAAGTCATAACATCTTTCATGGCATATGTTGCTTTTCTATGTTGTATTTCTTCCTCAATGACATTTAAAAATATTTTTCACTGATAAAAATGAATCATGTTGTCAAATTTTATTCTCTTCTTTTTAACACTACAAATAGTGATTCCATTTAGTCTCAGAATTTGAAACAAAAAGTATATTTTGTAATATCCATGTAAAAGAATTGAATTTTCATGAGTTAACATTCATTTCAACAGATAGTCAAGGCAAATGTTATTAATTATAATAACATTTAGTTAATAATTATTTCAAGTCAGAATTTATTTTCCTGTTCTAAAGTAAACTATGATTTTATCAGCCATTGAAATTGTTGCATTTCTATTACTTGTTGTGCTAGGCCATTGTGAGCTTAAGTAAAGGAAAGGCTGGATAAGTTTGGGACCTTGTGTATACACTTGAACAGAGACATGGGTAAGCAAAATTAAAATGACTGTGCTTATAGTTATGTCTGTTTAGAGGAACCAATGATACCAGAATGATGCTTATGGGATCTGGGACTCTAGTACTGAAGGTCAAAGTAAAGATAATTGGCAATTATCGAGAGCAAAGTATCATTTTGAACCAAGTGTCACAGATTTCTGACATATCTCTCCATTAAATATTGTCCATTCTAATTTCTATCTCTTGACCATTTTACCTGGGTAGTAGTCATTTGCTCTTCTCAGAGAGTGTGAGCTGGAAGAATCATTGCTGGTTTGCAAGTTATACAATTAAATTGTACTAGCTACTTTGTTTTAATTGCTTCTGAGAGACTTTATCCCAAAATTACTAGGAAGTGAACTTTAAATTACTTTGGGGATTAGAAACATTCTCAAAGCAGCAAACATTTTAAGTTGCTTTGGTGTTCCATTGGCTGATCCTTTAAAGGATCCTCTAGTAGTAAAGAAGACTGTGAAGAGCCCCGGCTTTCATCATTACTGGAAGTCGTTTCTGTTTTGCCCCTGGTTAATTGGTTTTTCCAATGCCAGCAACTTGATTTTAATGAGAACTGGGACGTAGATAGTTCTTATTTATTTTGCTGAAATTATTGAAGTGGAAATCATGAGACTAGCAATCTTGTAAAAATGCAGGACTTCTGGTTTTGGCATTTTAATATAGAAACACTCCATATTCCAATGTAATGGGGATACAAATAATTATAGAAAATTGCTATATTAAGAATTTTCAAGTGGCCTACTCCTTACTGTCATAAGTATTGCTAAATATGCATGGAGAAGATCCCAGCTCTGCTGTTAGAGCAGAGGAAGCTGACATCTGTGCAAAGAGGAGGTAATACGCATTTTCTCCTACCTGAAGGTAAAAGAGTAAATCTCTTGTTACTGAAATTTTGTAATTTGTACATTTATGATTGTAGCTTGAGACTGAGCACTAGTGTTTTCCTGAGGTCAATTTATTATTCATTATGTGCATCAGGCAGGACAATATAATGTTTTACAGATATTTCCTTATTGTTACTCAAAGACAGAAAGAAAAATCATTCTACCTAGCAGTGTTTCTTGTTTAGTTTACCAACATGCTGTAGTTAATATTCTTAGTATGTTGCAGGCACTTATAGTTCCCCCAAATTAAAAACAACCAAAAGTCCTTTTTCAAAAAATACGTCTTCTTTACTATTTGTCCTTTGAGCTCCAAAACTTTTCTGAAACTGAGTTTAAATTACCTTTGGAGCAGGATTTACGTATGCTGCTTTGTTTTAATAACTGAAGAGCAGTGATTTTTGTTAAGGATATCGTGTTGGTTATTCAGAAAAAAACTGTTATGACATACATGATTTTTAAAATGGTCAAATGCTTGTTGGCCAATATTATTTGATATATTTTAGATTTATTCTGAATTATTTGGTCAAAATACTAATGTGACATTACATTAAAGTAATTTTAAATTCATAATGCAAATGAGTTGCATAATTCTAACCCAGTTGCATGTGTTCTTAAAATAGTCTCTAAGAAGGACATTTAATTTAGAGCTAAACTTCTTTTATGAGATATGAAAGTCTAACTGATCTTAACTTCAAGGATAGTAATGTATTCTTGTGTTATTTGTATATTCAATTATAGGTCTTTATTTCCCATGAGGGAATCCACTTAAGAATGTAAACAGTTCTTACAGTCACTGCTGTAGCAGATCACATGCATTCCAGCCGGTATATAATTCCTGTCGGTGAAAGAAAATATTAACATGGGAAAATACAATCAATCTTCTGTGACAGAATTTGTCTTGCTGGGGCTTACAGGTTACCCAGAGCTTGAGGCCATTTACTTTGTGCTGGTACTTTGCATGTACCTGGTGATCCTGTTGGGAAATGGAGTCATCATCACTGTTAGTGTCTGTGACTCTCACTTGCACACCCCCATGTACTTTTTCCTCAGTAACTTGTCATTCTTGGACATCTGCTACACTAGTTCTTCTATTCCCTTATTTCTCAGCAGCTTCTTAACTTCAAAGAAAACCATCTCCTTCTCTGGATGTGGAGTGCAAATGTTTCTCTCCTTTGCTATGGGAGCCACAGAGTGTGTCCTTTTAAGTATGATGGCATTTGATCGCTATGTGGCCATCTGTAACCCTCTGAGATACCCCATCATTATGAGCAAGACTTCTTATGTGCCCATGGCTGCTGGGTCCTGGATCGCAGGGGGTGTCAATTCTGTGTTGCAGACTTCGCTTGCAATGAAGCTTCCTTTCTGTGGTGATAATGTCATTAATCATTTTACTTGTGAAATCTTGGCGGTATTAAAATTGGCCTGTGCTGATATATCCATTAATATTATTAGCATGGTTGTTGCTAATGTGATTTTTCTTGTGGCCCCAGTACTTTTTATTTTTATATCATATGTTTTCATTCTCTCCACCATCCTGAGGATTCCTTCTGCAGAGGGAAAACGGAAGGCCTTTTCCACGTGCTCTGCCCACCTAACAGTGGTTATTATATTCTATGGGACCATCCTGTTCATGTATGCAAAACCCAAGGCTAAAGACTCTTCAGGGGCTGACAAAGAACAAGTCACAGACAAAATCATTTCGCTCTTCTATGGAGTGGTCACACCCATGCTCAATCCCCTCATCTATAGCTTGAGGAACAAAGATGTGAAGGCAGCTGTGAAGAATATACTGTGTCGCAAACGTTTTTTGGAAGGAATGTAAATGCTACTCCATTTTTTTATTGTTTTACTCTAAATGCAGGGGTAATTTTTACTTGGTGGTTCCAAAATAAATGTAAGGACTGGTGGTACCACTAATTTTTTAAATTCTTAATTTTTTTGTGTCTGATATTTAAATGAAAGAGAAATGTAGGGCTAACCTTTTCCCTTAACAATAGGTTGAAGAAGAGGAGAGACAGAAATTTATGCATAAAAAATTCTCATCCAAATCACCCTCTTTCTCATGGATAATGAAGTTTAGTTTAACTTTGAAATGATGAGTTCTATAATCTTATGTATAGGGAAATAACATTTTAATAACAATCTCTTTTATGTGAATCAGTTTTATAGTCACATCATTCTTAGAAAATCTAGTAGGAAGGCTCTTGTTACTGATTAGAGTACTATATAAATTCAACATAAAGTGACCCATAATGAGATAGATATGGTCATATAGAGGGGATTGAGGAACACTTGGGTATTGGGTACCTGGGCTGGACATATGTCATTTTCATTGAAAAATATGATGCTATATCACCTAGGTCTGATTTCCTTTTGGTTACTATCTGGCAAGCACCCCACCTACCATAAAAAGACACCTGGGGCAATATCACCTTTTGTTTATCCAGCTGATAGTGAATTTTGGTCTATCTTGTGTTTAAATCAGTGAGCAGTGGTATCTTCGAATAAGAAACATTCTTATTATCTTTTAACATTGTTATTGTTTAATGGCTGAAAAATTAGTTTCTAAAGAATTTGACAAGGTTCTCTAAGAACACAATGGTAATTTATTAATGATAATTTAGTATAGTTTAACAAATTAGCTATTTCTGCAGTTACATGAATTTCCTGTAGAATAGGAGCTTTCCTTTCATTCATTCAGTTATTTGTTACTTATTTAACCAACCAGTATTTGTTGATACCTATATTTTCTCAGGCATTGTGCTAACTATTGAAAAAAATAACACAACTAAACAACCTGAAAAAACAAAAAAACAGAACATGAGGAACACTTTTTTTTTGTTTTGGTTTTTTGGAATATAGACTAACATTAATTGGGGACAAAAATATTTTAAAAAATTACCTCTCCTCAGTTGGGTCTTGGGTCTTGGTTGGACTGAACAGAGTAATGGGTAGACTTGGAGCAATTAATTAATTTATTTATTGAGATGCTGAAATCAAACCCATTGAGTTACACTCTCAGCCCTACTGGGAGTAATTTAAACGTGGTCATATGCTATCTTCATATGAAAGCATTTGAACCATCTTTGAGAAAGAAAGAAAGGGGTTCAGTGAGAAAGAGGGGACAGTAGAGTGAGGAAGAAAGCAGTGCATACTAGAGATTTCAAAAGCAAGAGAATGAGATACTGCAAAAATAGAATTAGGGAAAAAGGAAAAGAATAACTAAATAGAATTTTGGGGAAGTTTAGATGCTGGTTTTGTGTGGCCCTACCTCATTAAGTCTTAATAATCTCAATAAAGATAAACAATATTCTTTAAGACATTTTGTGATGGATTCAGTTTCTTTTTGCAGTTTCAACATTCTAAGACTGGCTATAGATGAGCATAATTTGGGTATGTAACAGATTTAAGGGGGAGTGGTTCTCAATTACAGTGTAGCATGTGAAGAGTTTTTGAAGGGAGTATGTAAAATTTCCCTTGAAGTGGGGATTGTGTCCCAGGAAGGAAAGGGTGACTTATGCTTAGCTGAGTTGGGAAATATCTCAAAAGACATTTCAGAAGGACAAGAAGGTAAAAGAGAAATTGTTATAAAGCATCAGAACACTTGTTTTGCCTCATACGCATGCTGACATTTCTCTGAAGGAGAATTAATACGTTGATTCTGAATTTTGTTTTTGAATCAGGATTTTTCATATGCTGCAAACTGAATTTCCTTCGAAAGAAACATTTACTCCGAAATGTTTTTATAAAACAATATTTTTTAAAAGGTCAACCTACAATATTTGGACTTATTTTAAAGATTTTTATTAAATTTTGAATATGAGTTTGTAGTAACATTGGGGCAAAATACAAACCAAGAAGAGTGATGATATATTAAGCAACAATAGCATATATTGCACTTCACTAGCCACCCACAGTCAAGGTTTTATGAAGAGAAAATATTTAGAATAAATTTACATATTGCTTATGAATCAGAGTCAGTGATTTTTATATTTTTTTGCCAATTGATTATCAGAGAATATTGTACACTTCTATGCTTTTTGTCTTGCCCAGACCAGATGACCTTTTCAGTTTGTTTTAATCAGTCTTTTCTTACCTGTTTCCTCCTATGTTTTAAGGTAAGCTGATATTTTACCAACAGTGTTTGAAATTGTGATTTTGGGGATGGAATGATATATAATATCCACTTTTCTTACTTCAAATACCTGGACTTGTATTTTTGGGGAGAGAGAGAGAGAGAGAGAGAGAGAGAGAGAGAGAGAGAGAGAGAGAGAGAGAGAGAGAATTTTTTTAATATTTATTTTTCAGTTCTCGGCGGACACATCTTTGTTTGTATGTGGTGCTGAGGATCGAACCTGGGCCGCACGCATGCCAGAGGAACGTGCTACCACTTGAGCCACATCCCCAGACCTGGACTTGTATTTTTACTATCCTTTTTCAATTTTAATTAATTAGTTCATTCAACAGTTAATACTGCCAACCATTTGGACGTTTTATAATGAAGAGTTAGCCATGGTTCCGACATTGAGAAGATTTCAGGAGCTAACAAATGATTATAGCATAAAAGAAAAACTATGGTAGTAAAGGTAAGGTCAGAGCAGCACAGAGTAAGGAATAACCAACTCGAGGGCAATATTAGAAGGCTTTGCAGAGATTGTGACATTCTACCTGTCCCTTCTGACATTGCTAAGATTTCACTAGGGAAGGAAAGTGACAACACAGAGGAAATAGCATTTGTTATTATTGTCCTTAGGTGTGAAAGAACATGGAGTAATTATAAAACTACATGGTGAATGAACACAGTATGTGTAAAAGTAATGGGAACAAACATGGTCATGAAAAGAAGATGAAATACTTAGCCAGAAATGTAGATTGGAACTAGATAAAGTCCCTGGGTAAAATATAAAAACAATGGTAAATAAGTCAATGTATCAAAGGTTTTCCAAATGGAAGAGGCCAACAAATATAATTTGCTCAGAAGCCATATGTGTTGGATTTTCTTGGATAAGATTAATTTCATTTTTTTTAAGTCTTGACCTTGTAACTTTACTTGTTTGTACTACTTAGACAACTTATTTCTACATTTTGTGAGATCATTTTCATAAAGTGATGTAGTTAGATTAATACTAAAATTTCTAACTCTGGCATTGTTTCCACACATATCTTCCTTTCTTTTCTCTGCTTATATTTAAAATTTTGCCTCAAAATATGTCAGCTTATTTTATTCATGAACTCAAAGGTGTCAGTTTCTCATCATTTCTTCCAGCACCATTGTCCACTCATCAGTTTTCCTCATATACCCAAGCACCTCTATATTCCTTAGGTTACAGATAATAGAATTGAACATGAGAGTAACTACATAATAGACCAAGTCTATTAGTTTGTCTGAAGGAGATTTTTGTATGTTTGCTTCATTTATACAAAACATATTTCATAAAACACAATCCCCTCTCTCATGTGGACTGAGCATGCAGAAGAAACCTTTTTACTTCTTCCAGCTGAATTGATTTCAGTATAGCATAGGTGGTAAAAATATAGAAAGCAGAAATTAGCAGTAATGGAGTAACTGAAAACATTCCATTGCCCAACACATACTATCATTCTAGGAAATACACATGCACACTAGTTTCATTAAAGATACTATTTCAGAAAAATGATCAACGAATGACATTTCTTCCACAAAAGGACATTTGTAATGTTAGTACATTTATGCCAGTTTGTTGAAAAAGCCTAATCCATGAAGAAGAGCTGCCTTCTAAATACAAAGACTCTTATTTATGATGATGGGAAAACTCAGATATTTGCAGATGAACACATAGCAGTCATAAGCCATCACTGCCAGGAGCACAGTATGAACCCCATGAACTGGAAACAGACACTTACGTATTACATCCCGTGAAAGAGTCTTTTTCTCTGATAAGAAGTTTATCAGTATTGCAGAGACAACAGGGATGAAACCTAGATGTTCAGAAAGGAGGGGTTATATACTTAGGTAGGAGGAAGCAGAAAACCTAGATGCTGTTCCAGGGAAGGAGTATATGATTCCAGTTACATCACTAAACATATGACAGAAAAAATTTTTTTATTTAATTCTGAGTATTCAGAAAGACCTCACAGGATGAACTCAATTTCAATTGTCCAATTTTTTTTCATTTTATTTTTCAAATCCAGAGTAATTCAGAAAAGGAAACAGCGTGTGAATTAAATGAGTGATTCCATATCGTGTGAATTGGTAATTGAAGTAGGAGGTCAGTCCTATAACTATGCTCTCACTACCTGGAACAGTGATAAAAACAGAGAGATTAGTTCATGAGGTTCTCCTAACTTATGAAGCAATTGAGCTGCTTTTGTAGCTTGCTAAATGTACAACTTCTGTATTCTATTTTCAGAGATCGTGATGCATGAGATTTAATAGAGGGAAGAACCCTTTGTATTTTTATTTTATGCTTTTGTTGGTGCATTTTAGTTATAAATAATAGTGTGATTTACAATAAATACCATTTATTGTAATATATTTGTACATGCACATAACATAATTTGGTCAATTTCGCTTCCCAGAACCCCTTCTTTCCCTCTCACCTTCCATCCCTCAATTTCCTTCCTTTATTATCTGTTTTTGTTGATTTGATTGATCCACAAATTCCACTTTGAGAATAAATATTTTTAGAGAAGGCATATCTTAATATGTTAAAAAAATATTTATTTTATATCATACCAATCATTAACAAAACCAATGATTTAGGGGTTTATAGTTTACAATATTTTCATGTTTTACTCATTTTATCAATACTATAATTCTGTGAAGAAAATGAAATCCAGAGAGGTGAAGTTTACTTAAAATCATAGTGAGTAGGCTGCTATTAAAATGTTTTTTTCTGATTTTAAATCTCGTGTATTTTTAGTGCATTGTAGTTATACACAATAATATGCTTAATTTTGACATATTCATTAATGCATATAACAGTTTTCTCCATTTAATATCTTGTACCACCCCATTTCTTCCCATCTTCCCTTACCCTGATCCCCTTCCTCTACTCTATTTATTTATAATTGATGCATTATAGTTCTATATAAAATTATAATGCATTGTGGTATATGCATGCACTTTTTACAATCTAGTCGACTTAATTTTTTCCCCTTTTCCTCTTCTTCTCCTTTTCCCTTAGTCCTTCCTTCTACTCTATTGATTTTCCTTCTGTTTTCATAAGGTCTATCTTTTTAAACTCCTTTTTTCCCCTCTAACTTTTGCATATGAAAAAAAAACTTTTGACCATTGATCTTCTGAGTCTGGCTTATTTCATTTACCATAATGTTCTGTATTTTCATCCATTTAACAGAAAATGTCATAATTTCATTCCTTTTTATGGTAGAGTAGAACACCATTGTGTATATACACCAAATTTTCTTTATCCATTCATCTACTGATGGCCACTTAAGCTGATTCCATAACTTGGCTATTATGGATTGTGCTGCTATAAATGTTGGTATGTATGTATCACTATATTATGCTGATTTGAATTCTTGTGGATAAATACCAAGGGGTAGAATAACTAGGTTGCTGCCCCTGACTCACACAGGCAGCTGAACTAAGGTCGCTCGTGTGAATTTCTAGTGACACCAAATAAAACACAGACACACACTTTACCTTTAAACAAGCTTCAGGATGGCTTCTCTGCTCTTGGCCTCAGGCTCCCCAAATAGGAGAACAAGATAAATTCATGAGAGGCTGGCAAGAGACAGTGAGCACATTCGGAAGTGGGCTTTTATTGGGAGCACCTTTGTTCTTAGAAAGTTTCATCCAAAAAAGGCCAGAAGGGGCAGGGTTACAAGGGACAGGTGAGTGTAATTCAGCCCAAGGGGCATTGCCTACATCTGAAGACACACCCTCAACTTCCTGAACCAGGACAACAGTCCAGATGACTATGAAATATAGTGATGGTTAAAGCCTCTGGCTTCAGGACAGAAGGCAAGAGTCATTCAGAGTGGCTCCCCACACTAGGTCATAGAGTGGTTCCATTCCTAGTTTTTTGAGGAATCGCTCTATTACTTTCTAAAGTGGTTGTAATAATTTGCAGTCCCATTGACACTGTGTAAGTGTACCTTCCATGCACCCTTGTTCTTTGCCGGCATTTTTCTTTTTTCTTTTTTTTCCTGTTTGCCTTTTTACTTCATTTGGTTTGAACCTTTGTTTTGGTTTTGTTTTGCCCTTCCTTATTGCCTTGGATGTTGAAGATGTTTTAACATATTTGTTGGCCATTTATTTCTTCTTTTGAGAAATATCTTTTTAGATATTTCACTCATTTATTGATTTGATTCTTTATTTTGAGTTATTTTTATATTCTGCTTATTAATTCCCTATTGGAGAAGTAACTGGCAAAGATTTCTCCCATTCTGTAGATTCTCTTTTCATGCTGTTTTTCCTTTGCTGTGGAGAAGCTTTTTGTTTTAATACATGCATTTTTTTATTATTAGACTTTATTGTTATTCAACAATTATGGATGGTGCCTAAGGGCTGGGAATCAGGCAACTTTTAAAATAATATTCTCCAGGTGATTCTAAAGGGCAACCCAGGGAAAAAAACATGGATATGCTTGAGTGATTCTTAAACTTTAAAATTTCTAGCAATCACTTGGGGAATCTTTGAAAATAATTCTGATTCAATGGGTCTGATGTGAGTCCTGAGATTTTCATTTATTAACATGCTCCTAGGTGATGTTGATGCTGCTTGTCTTCAGAACATGATTGCATAGCAAGGCCTATACCTTCTATACCTTCTATAGTCTTCTATACCTTGGAAAGCATCATTGGTATGTTATGTGGATGGCAATTTGTATTCCAAGTGAAAGAACATTCTGGTGGCACTTGGAGGTGAGACTACTGTGTGGTTTATTTTGGTTTTGTGTTGTCTAGATTCAAGGAATAGAAGCATCACATTGCTCTCCATGGAGCCTTAATTCTATTCCTGTCCAAGAAAGTCATTCTTTGTGCACTTGATGAATTGTAGTTAGAGCCATCATTTTCCTAAGGAAGGAATTTTGGTTTAGGTCAAGTACCTGAGATGTGCACCCACCAGTAAGGAGCAAATGATCTTAGTCTTTAAAAACTTAATTGGTAAATTTTAGCAGCTGACCTTCCTGTTTATAGTGAATGAATTGTAGAATTTTATTCTACCTCAGCTACAAAATGTAGTCCTAGATAAATAAATTAACTCATTCAGTGGATGATTAATGAATCAGAATTTTCAAACAATAGTTTTGGTTATTGTGTAGGATTTGCTATGTTGGTCATTTGTCAGCAGGTTATGCTACTCCCTAATTAAATCATGGTCCACATAAAAGATGATTTCTTATCCTAGTGGTTCTTGAAAGGACTCTTATCTAATTTAAGTTTTATTTAACTATTCAGGCTTTATAAACAGAGCAGTGAAGAATGGAAAGGCCAAGATTCACTCCTATTTGGTACTGTTTGTGACTGGAATTTGATTGACTGTAAGTCACAACCAGCCTACTATTAGTGTACCCAAAACACTGAGGCTTTGAATGAGCATCAATAGTTGGGTTTGTACTGAAGCTATTAAGAGAAGGTGTGAGTCAAGTGGGATTTCTTTTCATGTAATTTCTCCAGAATGTTTGGTCCTATTTACTTTCAGAAAACAATTATTTTATGCTGATAAGGTTGTACATTTGGCACTCTAATATCCTTGAAGTAATTGCTGCCAAAAGATTTTACTTGAAAACATCCCTATGGGATCCACCCATCTCTTTAGGTGCTTTTGAGAAAAAGATAATTAATTGCATAGAGGCCATTAACGGTATTTCTTTTGCAATGCTAGAATAACTCTGTTAAGAACCAATTGATTGATTCCAAATGTTTGACCTTTCAAAAGAGCATAGTGTTGAACATCTTTTTGCTAGAAACCTTCTCTACATTTATGTTTACTTCTCTAAGGTGGAGTCACAAAATTTGTTTGGATAAAGAGAACAAAAAATCTTAGACTAGGGATAGTTACTAATTAATGATTTCCCCTAGGCTTTAGGGTGTTGGATAATTTTTCTATCATTGCATGTTGCCCTTCTATATTCATTTGATGATGGAGAATTATGAAATTTTCATAGTACATTCACTTAATGGACTATTTGTAATTACTAAATAGATTTTTTGAAGAATTTATATTATTGGAAAAAAAACTTATACTAGTATAGTTAAATAAAGAAAGACAAAAACAGAATTCTGCATTTTTATCCAGAACAAGATTTATCAAAAAAATTACCATGGTATCTTTCCTAAAATTTCTTGACTTGAAAATTAATACAGACACATTTAGATAGAACAAAACAATTCCAAATAAAAGAAACAAATGAAGATGATACCTAATTACATTAGAAAAATTGATTCGGTAAATAACGTAAAAACCTTAATATAAATGATTAGGCAATTTCTTCACATCTGTGGATATTACACACTGAGGCTGTGTTGCACTTCATAGTCATTGATGTTTCCCACATCCTAGATTGTGGCAGAAAGGATAGTATACTTTAAAATACTTGTTATCGAGGGGCAAATTTGCTTTATAACATTATCACCTGTGTCTAGCTTAAATGAGAGGTTGATAAAAGTATAAGTTTTATTTAACTATTTAGACTTTATAAACAGATCAGTGAAAACTGGATAGGCCAGGTTTCACTCCTATTTGATACTGATAAAGAACAATTAAAACTTTGCCAAAACACTTGATTTTTAAAAGTAAAATAGATTCTAAAAAAGAAAACCACAATAATTGGTTGTTGTTCTGTTCCTAAGAAGAAAGGTCAACCATAAGGTGGTGAGACTTGAGAAGATGGCCAGGAATCAATTCGTGTGATCAGGATGATCAATAAACATTACAAACAATGAGGAACATTCAGTTTTAATTTATTTCTTCTTATGTGCTGTGATTTTAGTGTTTTGTGGTTAACAAATTATTTTCATTATTTGAGTGGAGTAATTCAATGAAAGAGGATCATTTCTGCAGGAGTGGAGATCAGATGGCCAAGGGGCGCAGAGTGTCTGGAACTTACACATATTTACCATTGCCAATGTATTAATTATTAATTATGCCAATGTGATTAATATAGGTGATACATATATCCCATTAGGTGAATTTTTTGGAATACCCAATTAGAATGAAGTTACAAATTAGCTTTTAAAACACTATGAAAAACTGAATAGCTTGATATCTTTTAGGTTTTCATCGTACAGTTCAAAAATTTCTTAATTTGTTGTGAATTTCAAAATGCCACCTACATTTACAATCTGTTTCAGAGCCAAATAAAATAATTTTAATATTATTAGTATAGTAAAACCATTTTCTTCTTTTATTTATTTATCAAATATGACTTAGGTACAGCTAGGTGTGGTGGCACACACCTGTAATCACAGAGGTTGGGAGGCTAAGGCAAGGGAGGATTGTGAGTTCAAAGCCAGCCTCAGCAAAAACAAGACACTAAACAAATCAGTGAGACCTTGTCTCCAAATAAAATACAAAAGAGGACTGAGGATGTGGCTCAGTGGTCAAGTTCATTCCATGAAAACCAAAGGGGGGAATATACAATATGAACTATATATATAAATTAAATAAATTAACATACATAAAAGTTTATAACAATGCATAAAATATGTAAGCTATTATTATTATTAATAACCAAGAATTAATAAAGAATTCATGTAGCCTAATAACTTCCATTTACCAATAGGGAATAATAAGATAGATGAATAAAGTGATTAAAATGCATTTGGAATAAGAATCTAAGGAGTATATAGAAACTTGGGAATGGGGTAATGAATGTCCTCAAGACTTCTTATTGGTTATTTAAAATACAGTAATGTGAGCAATATAATTAAGTCTTTAGGGTATTATTCTTGAAGTTTCAAAAAGTTTTGAATATCTTTCCCCTGAAGCAATTTAAAATTTTGGCTTAGAAAATTGCAGAAGTCCCTAAGAGCATTAAATATTTAAATTGCCTTCCTGTGCCTAAAAAGATTCTTTAGAGGATTTACTGGGCCTTCACCATGTGCCCCATTCTCAGACTGAACTAGTGAATATTTGTTCTCCCTTCTCTTTTGAACTAGTGAAATTAAACTATACTTCCTTTG